CTGTGCACACACTAATGACACCTCCATCTCTGCCCAGGGTGTTGCAGCCAGACTGGCCCTGGAGCCCCAGCCCTGTGGTTACCTCATCAGACGCCGTGACACAATAAGCCAGTTTCAGAGGACAATTACAAGGCTTTGGCTTATCTGCTGGCAGCGGCTTCCACCACCACAACCTACAAATTGCCCCATCCCTACAGAAGGAAGGGCTAGGGAGCATCTGCCTCCTCCAAGGTGGCAGCACCAGCCACTGTAGTGTCCCCATCCCCGCCCCAGGGGCCATTGCTGGGCACTGTCGAGCGCCCCACACAAGGTTGGTCCCACATGGACCTGGCAGGCCTGGCTGGATGTGACCTTTTGTAACCAGCCAAGAGGGTACACAAGGAATTTTACACCATGTTCATTCTGGAAGGGGAGGGGGGTCATACTCTTCCTCCCACTCTCACTAAGCAAGCAAGTAATTAGGAAGCGGAAAAAGAGCAGTGAATCACTGCCAGGAGAGCCTTGGAAAGAAAAAGGCTGGTTATGGGCTTATCTAATGTCACATCAGCCATTTCCTAAGAAGGGAGCAAATTTAATTAAGAACACAGGCACACTCAAGGACAGGCAGGTTACCTACAGCACACATAGCTCAGAACACAACGCTGAGAGGTCAGCATCAGGCTGTGGAGAACAAACCCTGCCAACAGCTCGTCATTTGGGACCAAAGGCAGATGCCATCAGGCACAGACACAAGCAGGGGCAGGAGAGCAGCAGGAGGGGCACAGCAGCCAGGGAAGGAAGGAGTTGGCCTGAGGAGGAAGAGTCAGATCTCGGACATCGAAAAAAGCCCAGGGCAGACACTGGGGGTGGAAAAGTCCTGCAGAGACTTTCCTAGCTGCAAACACAGTGGGAGACTCCTGGCCTGCAACCAGCACCAAACACTTGGGCAAAGGACAGAAAAAGCAGCAGGATCCATCCCTGGCACCACCATCCAGCTCCCACTGGAGCAATGGGGGATTTACTGGTTACAGACTGTACCTGGGTGATGGTTTCTGACCAGCTGGTACTTTCACCAGCACCAAGAACACATCAGCTGTCACACCCTCCACCTGCTGCTATCCTACAGAAGCTGCCCCCACCTCTGCCCAAACACATAGGCTCTCAGTGGATCACCCGTGGAAAATGAATGTTAATGCTGCTCTGAAGATAGGCAGCAAGAGCCCACATGGTCATTAGCTCCTGTGGCAGAGGCAGGTGTGCTGCCTGCATCCTGCTGGGCAGGGGGCTTGGCCATCCTGCCCCCCTGGCACTGTCCTGCTCCTCTGATGCCAAGGAACTGCAGCTGAAGGGCAAGAACCAGGTTCACTGGTGGTGAAACAGAGAGATGAAAATACCCAGGCTGCTTTATAAATACACCTCATTTTAATTACTTCAAATTAGTTCACTGGCTTCCGCCCCAGCACGCTGCGCAGCCGGGCCGCAGGAGCTCGTCGCGCCGGGTGTCCCACTGGGCAGCAGGGACCACAGCGCCCGGCAGGGACAGAGGAGCCCTTTGAAGCCATATTTGACCAGCTGAAGAGATGCTCCAAGGCCTTCCCAGGAACGGGGAGCAGGAAGAGGAGCAGGCCCATAATTTCACTTCTGGGTGGTACCTCTCAAAGTGCCTAGAGCAGCTTTATCCTCTCAAACACAATAGATGGGAAGAAAAGACAGAGGATCTCTGAATATTTCTAGGAACATCTTTGGAAGGCTTCTCAGGTTCTCCTTGCCCCCAGAAATCCCCAGTGTGCAGCTGCTGGCAGTCATGGTTGAAACCAGTCCTGAAGAATGAGCCTTCCCAGCAGGAAGGGCAGGGGCAGGCAGGGCAGGGCGAGCAGCCCCCTCAGAAGAACTTGACGCCTCGACCATCGTCCAGAGTGATAATTTCAGCCTTGTGCTCCTGCTGCAGGGCCTGCAGGGCACGGAGCAGCATTGCCTCATCCAACCCGTGGAACTCTAGGAAGGACAGAGACCCTCATCAGTGGAAAAAAAAACAAAACACACCAGGAAACAAACAGGTTTAGAAAGGGTCTGGTGGCAGCGGGCTCTGAAGATCTCCAGACTTCAGTGCTGTAACACAATTGCAAATCCAGAGTCATGGTTACATGGACATACTCATCTCTACATTGGGAGCAAAGCCCGAAGGTCAAGAGGCAGAAGGGAATGAGTCACACAGTCTCAAAGGCAGAAAACCAAAATGCCAGACCAAGAGCTGGGCAGGCTTGTGGGGGGAGAAGGATGAAATGACAAACAGAAATAGCAAAGGGGGATGCTCAGGCACAGTGGTAAAGAAGCCACAGCTGCACTTGCCAGTGGTGACAGGTGTGAGGTGCATGAGCAATTGTAAAATATTTAATCTAAAAAACTATAATCTGACAATCAATTGTTTACATACTCAAACTGAGTGTGCTCTGAAAACCTGCTCTGGAACACAACACCCAACGTTACCTTCATTCTCTGTATCATCTCCACTGGATAATTCATACAGTGTGAACACAGAGTTGGTCAAGCCATTCTTCAACACCTGGAAAAGAAAAAGCAATGTAGCAAATCCCACCCTCAGCACAATCCCTCGCACACCTCAGTGAGACAGAAAAGGACAGCAAAAATACTCTGGAAATGCTCCAGGGTACTGGAGAGCCAAGAAGTTACACCTAAGGAAAGCAGAGACAGTTCCTTTCCCTGCCCATCTGTCCCGCCATCGGGGCCGATGCCCAGGATGGACACACAGCAGCCCTGTTCTGCCCCACCCCAGGCAGAAGGAAAGAGCTGCTCCCACCTCTACACTGCTCTGAGACAGAGGGAAGTGGAAGAGAAAAGTAAAAGAAGTGAGGAAGCAGGAAAAAATGTTACAGTGGTCTTTTCCACAAATAGCAGCTGACACCAGCTGTGCAGAAAGCTGCCCTGTGGGCCAGACAACACCCACATTCTCACCCACTGATAGATGAGCTTCCCCCACTCTTCTGGTCTCCTCCACATGATCAGAAAGCTGGTTTTGTTCTTATCTAACCACTCCAGGTTCCCTAAAACCAAAGGGAAAAGGTGTTTAATCAGAGCACAAACCTACAGTACCCAGCAAACCTGCGGATTTCACAACGTTGCGGCCACGGGCACCGGCCCCTGCACCACCCGGGGCAGCGCAGCCCCCATGGAAGGGAACTGACTCCCCTGCCGAGTCCCACCCTCCTCCCGCAGCTTGACCTGCCCCCGGAGGGGCCGGGGG